ACAGCGTCAATTCGTTCATTGACAGGCAGGCCTATCGTTTCTCCCTAATTACGATTGACACGATAGCAGACCACGTGCGCAGGACGGGCCTCGAAGCCCTCCTGTCAAAGGTGGACCTGAAGCACGCTTTCCGACTCTGCCCCGTGCACCCTGACGACTGGCCGCTCCTCGGCATGTTATGGAAGGGCAACTACTATTTCGACACTGTCCTGCCATTTGGCCTACGCTCCGCTCCCAGTCTGTTTAACTGCCTGGCTACCGCCCTAGAATGGATCCTCCGTAATAACTACAGTATCCCTGCCCTGGAGCACTATTTGGATGACTTCGTATCAGTGTCTCCAGCAGCCGAGTCTGTCGCGTCCTCTGCGGCCGCGACCCACAAAGCCACTATTCTGCAGGTCTTCGCAAAACTGGGTGTCCCAACAGCAGACGGCCCGGACAAAGTTGTTGGCCCCGCCACCTGCCTCACAGTGCTTGGCATCGACATTGATTCAGCGGCAGGGGAGCTGCGGCTCCCAGCCGAGAAGCTCCGTACATTGCGGCAACTCCTAGCAGCCTGGGCCACCTGGCCATCAGCGTCCAAACACGAACTCCAGTCCCTCGTTGGCCACCTGGCGTTCGCCGCCAAGGTCGTGCCAGCCGGTCGTACGTTCACTCGCCGCCTCATCAACCTGTGTTCCTCAGTCACCAGCCCTGCCGCGGCCGTCCGCCTCACCAGCGAGGCTCTTGCCGACATCAAATGGTGGCAGGATCTCCTCCCACTATGGAACGGAAAGGCCCTCCTACGCGACCCCGTATGGTCAAAGTCCCCGGACCTGGAATTGTTCACCGACGCGTCTGGCAGCGGTTTCGGCGGCTTTTACCAGGGTCGTTGGTTCGCGGGCACATGGTCAGCGGCGCAGCAGGCCCCACCGTACACGTCCATAATGTGGAGAGAGATGTGGCCCATCGCCATTGCCTGCCAACTCTGGGGCCCCCACTGGGCACAGAAGAAGATCCTCCTGCACTGCGATAATTCAGCAGTGTGCACTGCCTGGGAGTCCGGCACATGCCGACACGCCGGGGTCATGGCACTGATATGCAGCACCATGCAACTCACCGCTCGCCACAACTTCTGCCTGCTCGTCCGTCACATCGCCGGCGTCGACAACAGCATCGGAGACGCACTCTCCCGGGCCCAGTTCCAGCGCTTCCGCCGTCTGGTTCCCGACGCGGAGACTGCCCCATCGTCACTCGCCAGTGCCCAATCCGACAACAGATAGTCGCATCCGTCTGCAGCTGGCCAGGCGCCCCAGCCGCCAATTCAAGCTCCCAGCAATCCCAGCTACCACTGCGCGGGCTCGCCGTACGTCCGTAGTCCCCCCAGCCCAGCATCTCGCATCTCTGCTCTTTTCTTGTTGTTTTGTTTCCCCTACTCTACTAACCCACCTACAATTTCCGCTGTCAATGATTATCCATGCCCTCGCCGGGGCGAACCCTTCTTGGTCTATCTTACCACTCTGTGTGCTTAATGGGCTTATCCGGCCCCTTAGAACCCCCCCTTTTTCTTTTTGGGAGCAAAGGGGGGGGGACACCCCGCAGGCCCCGAGCCGGCGACCGCTGTACTCGGGGGCGCTCCATATGTACGCTATACGTGTGGCCCGCATGGCGCAAACAAAATATGGGCCAGGCACCGTGTTGCCATGCTACCGAGGCAAATTGTAGAGGGCGTTAAGCCTACCTAGCAGGTGTAGGTTTGTCTGTATACTAGGGGCACGGCTCCGTGAGCCTGACCTACTCGCTGTCTTGTGCTCTGCGTGTATATCCAGGCTCGCAAGCCGCGCGCATAACATCCCGCCGGATGTCCACCTCCCGCCGGAGGATCACCTACAGACACCACCGCCGCAAGCAACGGCTCCGCGAGCCAACGCTTCGCCGCCCGCTGTCTTTTAGTATTGTTCTGTGTGCCTATCCAGGGTCGCTAGCCCCGCTCGGATTACATCCCGCCAAACATATAACTCCCGCCGGAGAATTGCTTACAGACACTGCCGCTGCAAGCTGCGGCTCTGCCGAACCAAGGCTGCGCCGCCCGCTGTCTGTTGCTCTGTGTGTCTGTCCAGGGTCGCCAGCCCCGCTTGCATAACATCCCGCCGGATGTCCACCTCCCGCCGGAGGATCGTTTACCGCCACAAGCCACGGCTACGCAAGCCAACGCTTACGTGCCACCCCCATGCGTCCACCCGCAAGGCTAAGTACCTATGGGTTAGGCCAATAGCAGAGGCTCCCACCCCGCGGGGCTGGGGGGAGGGAGCTCTCGGGTCGTATTTGCATTAGCCCCACAGCATGGGGCGAACCTCGGCCAAACCAGTACCGGAACGCCCCGCCGAGGTCAGGGGGGAGATATTCCACTAGCATAACCCACGGGTCCCCTGCTTACAATCCGCAGCCATGCTGCCGGGCCAGTGCGTTCCGGGAAGCGGGCCGCTGTTCGGCGACCCGGCGCAGCACGCATACACCGCAGCTTGGCCGCCGTGCCACCCTGCCTGTTTAGGGAACATGCTCGTGTGCGGACGTATGCGTGTGTGCGTTTGTGTTGCATGCGCTTGTGCCTGTGTCCTCCTAGGCTCGCTAGCCGCCGCTCTCTCAGCGCGAGCAGAGCACCTGATTGCCAACTCAGTAGCCACTGGCACACAGCGCACGTACGCCCCAGGCTGGCGTGCATTCTTGGAGTTCATGGGTCGCATGCGCCGCGACGCACATCACCCAGATCAGAACGACGTCCTGCTGTTCGCTGCCGCAATGTCTCACTCAGTCAGCGCCAGCACTCTGAGAGTCTACCTGGCCGCGATCAAATACCACCTCCTCCGCATGGGAGGCCCGGTCGGGGTTACATCTTCTAACCGCATCACAGCCCTGCTCAAGGGCTTGGAGAGGGAGAGAGCGTCACTTCCCAGGCATCCGTCAGCACGCCCTCAGCGCCAAGCGATCACCGTCCACCAGTTGAAGGCTCTCCGCCAGTTCTTGGATCGGACCTTGTACTCCCCGGCAGACAGACTAATGCTATGGGCTGCTCTGACGACAGCCTTCCACGGCCTGCTGCGTGTGAGTGAGTACACGTCGCCGTCACCACACGGTCCCGGCGGCCTCAAGACGCTGAGGCGCGAACACCTCCGGCTAGCCCAGCAGGAGGCCTCTCTGCAGCTCCAGAGGACGAAGACGTCTCAATTAACAACAGGCGGGGAGGTAGCGCTGCATCGCTACGCTGACCCCGCACTATGTCCCGTCCGAGCCCTGCAGGCTTACGTTCGGTCCAGCAAATGGAGCAATGACAAGCAACCCCTATTCAAGTTTCAGGATGGTCGCCAGCTCACGCCAAACGACATCAATGCTGTCCTACACAAAGTGCTAGGTCCAAGCATCAGCAGCCATTCCTTACGCGCCGGGGGAGCCACACACATGGCGGATCGAGGCGCACCGGAGTATGCCCTGATGGCTGCAGGCCGCTGGTCCAGCGGGGCATATCACACGTACATTCGCAGGCCCGCAGGCATGCCACAGCACTACTAGAGCCTGCGTGTCGCAAGCCACTCGGTACCTTTATTGGAGGCACGGGTGCTGCCGATGGGCGCCGCATAGTGCACGCACATCGGCACCATTGAACTATTCATGTGTACTAAGATTTAGTGTTCCGCTGCCATAGCAACCTAGTAGTACACGTAGCCGTTCCGACGGCGCAGGACCCCGCGGGTCGCTTCTGCTGTCCTTGCCTCTCTGATGCGTGATATGTGTACATCATTTATAATCATGACCTCATACTGAGTACATGTACGTCATACTTGATTACCGATCACAGGCTCATGATTATTCATGCTGGAATAAACGCTTGCGACACCCCACAGGCTCGTCTCTCTTGTGTGGCATGAGGGTTAAATGTGGGTTTGCGTTGCGCAAACCGTAGTTAACCTACATGTCACAGGACCGCATCTCCCACATGGAGATGCCGTCCGCGGACACGCCAAAACCGGCTAAGTCTCATACGAGCTCCGCTAAAGTCGTACGCACTGCCGGGCTCCCGCGTGGGGCCCCACGCAAGCATTTGCAACCGCGACGCGCGTACGGCATGCCGTATAAGCCACCTATCAGCCTTGGGTGCAAGCTCACCCAAGGCCACCCTCGCAAGGCAGGAACAAGTAAAGACATTCACCAGTTGTTTGTTGTGCCTGCCCGCCGCAGAAATTGTTTCCCACCCTCCCGCACCATTTAAAAGGCAGGAGGCACGGGTGCTGCCCATGGGCGCCGCATAGTACACGCACATCGGCACCATTGAACTATTCATGTGTACTAAGATTTAGTGTTCCGCTGCCATAGCAACCTAGTAGTACACGTAGCCGTTCCGACGGCGCAGGACCCCGCGGGTCGCTTCTGCTGTCCTTGCCTCTCTGATGCGTGATATGTGTACTGTACATCATAATCATGACCTCATACTGAGTACATGTACGTCATACTTGATTACCGATCACAGGCTCATGATTATTCATGCTGGAATAAACGCTTGCGACACCCCACACTCCACAGGCTCGTCTCTCTTGTGTGGCATGAGGGTTTACTTAGTCTTTGTAGTTTGATCATTTTGATTGTTGGTAAACACTTGCGGCTAATTCTACTAAGTAAAATAGCTTGCACTGTAGGAGTAAGACCTAAGAAGTAATTAGTTTACCGGCCTTTCGGAAATAGAAGATCATTATTCGGATGCTTCAGTCCTTCAGTTGTATACAACTGGTAGGTGACAGAGCACCCCATTTCGCTCGAGCTGCGTGAACCGAACCGTAGTCCGCAGTACCGTAGACGTACTACTACTAGCCGCTATGCCTGGATCTGAAACTAACAGAAGACGCATATTGGGTTTTTGGCAGGAGCTGAGACGCCGATATGGGTGCGATTTTTCCGATGCCACCCTTGACGCGGTCCTGAAGAAAGAGTGTGAAGAGTTCAAAGTGGATCAAGATGGAGCAACCCTGCGAACACTATCGGACCATGAACTCATTGATAATGACGATCTCCTCCTTTCTGAAGGACTGAAGCATCCGAATAATGATCTTCTTCTATTTCCGAAAGGCCGGAATTTCGACGGTACACAAGAGACGGGTAAGCAGCAGCATTTGGCCTTGTCCAGATTACAGTACGTATCGCCAAGAGTACATAACCCCCCAGAGTGTGCAACGCCTGATCCAGCTCTGCATAGGGTCTTGGTCGAGCGGAATCGGATCTTTGCGTCATAATACCGTACACATCTGAGGGGAACCCGGGGAGTCGCGGGTACTCTTGGATCAAAAACAATGGTGCCCTGCCTCGAGACCGGCCTTGCGCTGGTGTGAAGTGTACGCATGACATCAGAAGATCCGATTCCGCTCGACCAAGACCCTACACAGAGCTGGATCGGCGTTGCACACTCTGGGGGGTTATGTACTCTTGGTATCGCCTATAAGTTTGGCGGCTATAGTAATATACCGGATATAGTGATCAATTTCTCAAATTCTTTTTCATTTGCCATAATTAAGTATACACAGTTATCGCGTATAGTAATAATCGTCCATAGTAATAATATCGCCTATAGTGATCAAATTCGTATTTCAAAAGACCTTTATTAGGCTGTGTTTACATGAGGCGTTTCAACCCGGGGTGAGTTCGACCCGGGTCAGATTTCAACCCGCCATGTACACAAAATGAATGGCGTGTTTACATGACGCATTGCGCTTGACCCGGGTTGAAATTTTGCCCCGGGTTGATTTCAACCCTCCCCAGATTTCAACCCGCCATGTACACAAAATGAATGGTGCGTTTACATGACGCATTGCGCTTGACCTGGGTTGAAATTTCGCCCCGGGTTGATTTCAACCCTCCCCTTGGCCGGGTTGATTTCAACCCTCCCCCAAGGGGAGGGTTGAAATCAACCCGGGTCAAAGATATCGTACTACGTACTTCTGTGCGTATCTCGCGCCAGGTTTAAACAGCACTGCACATGCAAATTTCGCGCGAAAGGATTCACATGACCATACAGGACTCTAGAAATGGGACTTTGGCGGCATATCAGTATTTGACCCGGGTCAACTGTCTTCATGTAAACGCTCACCTATTTAGTCTATCGTACAGACTTTCAACCCGGGTTGAACTCGCCCCGGGTTGAAATTTCTCATGTAAACACAGCCTTACATTATTTTTGCATCGATTATAGTGATTGATGTAAAATCAAGTGGTGTCAGAGAAGAACAGGGTGTTACTTCTTCGTGAAGAACTAACTTGTCCAGTGTTGTTTGGTGAGTTCTGCTTGTACAAGTTGCCAAATATGCCTCCATCGTGAGGAAATGCTGATGTTGTGTGACATGAGCTGTAGCCAGCTATGCAGTGCGTACATGTATGTGCACGGCGCCCTGAGTCGTTTGACACTCCACTCGCATACCTTGCATGCAGTATCGGTCATAGTGATATATCGCTTATAGTGATAAAATGCTCAAAATCAAACACCGACGCTATAGGCGATACTGACTGTATTATCACCAGCACACCACACCACTCTGTTATCGGCCCTCTTAAAAGTTGTGTTCATCACTGTTGAGGCTTCCGATGGAAAATAAAAGAATACTACTACTACTGCTACTGCTACTGCTACTGCTACTGCTACTGCTACTGCTACTGCTACTGCTACTGCTACTACTACTACTACACCACACCGTTGCGCTCTCTGGCCGACCTTAACACGTTGCCACAGCACACCATCAGCTAAACGACACTTCAGTTGGTACTCTGCTCCTTCAGACAGCAGCTGTTTCGATCATCAGGATCTCGCCAGCGAAGTAATTAGTTTAATGATAATGTAGAGTGGCTAACAGATAGTGAACCTCATCCAATATAGCCAAAATACTTTGTTTTGCTATAAAAGGGTGCATGAAGTTCACTATGTGCTGTGGCAATGTGTTGAGGTTGGCCGGAGAGCGCAACAGTATGGTGTGGTGGTTGATAATAGTACTGAAGGTAGGAGCTTATTTAATAAAGAAAGGCTAGTCCGATTTGTGTTGTCATCATAATCAAAAACACCGGGCTCACATCATGCTATTTTGCAGACATAGACCTGCACACTTGCACACTTTTTTCTCAATGCCAGAACATTCAATTTTTCAATCACGATCGGGGCATGGCAGAAAAGTAGAGTCGATGATGCGGTGCACTGCTGTCGTACAACCACCCTAGGATTCACCGTTACGGCTAAATGCAATCAATCAAGCTGCACGACGTACATCTTTACGAAAACTGCGAGTTCATGATCGTTGCAAAGGTTCTGTATTTTGAATTTCGAAATGTTTTCTGACTGTCGTGAGTGGAAATTTCCAGGTTCCTAATTTCACTTCGCAAGCTGTTTTGCAATCTGAAAAGTTCTTTCTGTCTTCTCACAACCTGTGCCATGTAGCTACAGTATTCACTGTGTGATTGCTATCTGCAAGTAAAATGGCGTCCACAGATCAATGCTTCTTTCCGTGCAACTTCCCCCGAAGGTTTGACTGCTCTGTCCACACTCGAACCCTGTGCATGCCTGTATATTCCAAAAATTTGAAACAGAGAACCTCTCTACGACCGTAGTCCCACAACTTTAGGACATTGAGAACAGGGGCGTCACACACGATACGACCAGTATAACCATGGTCGTACCGCTTTTCGTCCAGGATGGTCCACCCAGAGTACTTGTAGAGCGCTAGAACGTGCCCTGTTGGTCGAAAAACCCGATTTTCTTCCCCGAGGGGACTCCCGACCCCGGGCGTATCACTCCTCACTGCTCTGTAACGCCCCTGGAGAACTTCTTCTGATATGCTTTATTCCAAGGCTTGTGATATCCCTGAGGATGCAAAAAAAGACATAGACACAGAGTCAAGTAACTGGGGTATTCTCACATGACTGGAGTGTGAGCCCTGGATCATGGAACGTGTTTTACCTACGCCAGGATGTTGCGCGCTAGTACTAGTCAATTATAGTTAACATGCTTCCGATGGGCCTGGCGCCCGAATCGACGAATGTCATGTGATTGATGACGTTGCATGTGTTTTTTTTGTCCTTATAGTTGATGACATTCTCGAAACGATCGAGTCGAAGGTGGAGGAATTAAAAACATACTATCAGTCTGGACTGCAAATCGCAGTGCGCAAGATGCTTGATGAACACCGTAGTCTCTCCCCCAGCAACAGTGTTGCCTTAGCTGGCATTCAAGCCATGGTGACATGCAGAGCCCATAATCGACATCGTGATGAGCATCCCGAGTGGTTCAAGGATATTAAAAGTGATGTCAAGACCAAGGAAGAATGGATAAGGTGAGCAATACATGTACATGGAAATACATAATAGTGATACAATTGAATGTCCGTGGTACAACCTACTGTGTTGAGAAACACTACCAGCTTCGGTAATTTCCCTTGTGTCTAACCACCACCATGCATTAGATACCCCGATGGGGTGGCAGATGCAGCTCCTAGCGGCGAGGGTGAGGTCGAAAGTTTCACAACCAGTTCCCGACCCGATAAGGGAGCAAAACCTCGTCCATAGGTGCATCCGACAGAGTGTTTGCCTCACTCCAAGTCCTAGTACAATACTCAGTGACTGGTCAAAGCCACAGCGTAGCTAAATTCATTCACTGTGACATTGACGATATTCATCCGGGCAGTTTTGGGTACAGTAGAACCTCTCTTATCCCAGTACCTCAAGATCGGATGGTGCCTGCATCTCAGACTAGTCTCTAACTCAGGAATACCGACTACACCATAATGGGTACGATACGGCACTATCTTCAGTTCAGCTCACTGACCGAGATTGATCCCATTCGCAAGTACAGTAACATCTGGGGCTATGATTTTTTATTCCCGTAGCTATGCAAAAGACGTTACTTTTAAAAGTAACGTCTGGCACTAGCCAGGGTCCACACAGCTATAACTTGGTACGCCTGACGACGGCGTGCCTGGCGCTATCCCGTATATGTCCCGTACCGTACCATCAAAGATAGCTGGCCACCTTATTCAAATAGGGCTTTCAACTGCAAGATGATAACGAGAAGCAACTTGGAAGAATGTGTATGTATGCGAAGTGCATCGGGAAAATGCAACCAGGGCGATAGTGCGGGTTCGAAATTTGAACCCGCACTTCGAACTTCGAATCTCATGTTAGGCCAAGCCAAAGACTTCATGGTCATCCTTACTTTTTAAGAAAAAATGGGGAGGGAGGGCGGATTTGATTTGTATACTTCATGATCGTCCTAATTTTTTAAGAAAAAATGGGGAGGTAGGGCGGATTTGTATTTTTATCATTGTAAAAGACAGCTGGCCACCTTATTGAAATAGGGCTTTCCACTGCCGGATCATAAAGTGAAGCAACTTGGAAGAATGTGTATGTATGCGAAGTGTATTGGGTAAATGCATGCGCTAGTGCGGTTCGAATCCCATGGTAGGTCAAGCCAGGGAATACAATGTCATGTACTTCATGATCGTCCTGTTTTTCAGAAAGAAATGGGGAGGGTGGGCGTATCTATATTTTTACCATTGTGTTGCAAAAATGTTTCCAGCAGTTCGAATAACATGCATGATGACCAAGGCAAAAAAGCATAGCGAGGGCCCTGAGCTTTCAAGCTCTCTGGTTCAGTTGTGCAGTTCAGCTTACTGACACCACTAGGAGGACATTATACCCGTCTGCAGTGTGGCCGGTTGAGGGACATGCAGTGCACATACATGTACATCATTGAAGAGGGTCGACTGTATTAGTGGTGTGCGGCTACCAACCCTATACAAGAGCCTCGCATACTCACAGTGGCCTCGGGCAGATAACATGGATATTTGCGGCGGCAAGGACACCTTCACTCATTATTCGTGCACGTCAGGGTCACCAATTGTGGTGTTTTAAGTCGACCATGACGGCCACAATGGCCAACCAGACCACAACGAAGTTGGGGCCAAAAACGAAAGTTTATTTCTTTCCATCCAAATATATACAAAAGCAGCCATTTTTATGAAAAATGATTTTATGTGTACAAAACGCATATCCGAAAGCACTACACAGTACTATGGTGGCAATACATTGAAGACAGTTCCTCAACTACGGGGCTGCAATACGCCATGACATACTGTCACTAGGCTTCAATGCACCAAGCCACGGCTGCGCATGTACTTGAGAATAACCCCTTATAATAGGGTTAAAGAGGAAATTAAGGCAAAAATCAAAATTTCACCAGGTGTAGTCTTCGGGGTGCTAAGTCGAATGGTCGTGGTCCGAGGAAGCTGTCACCGCAAGCTGAACGACGGTCAACCCGCGCTACTGTTCGACCAGTTCGTTTCAAGGATTGACGTTCAGAACACACAGTTCATATAGACCTATTCTAGTCTGTGGAGTTTGAATGATATATTTTGGACTCTGTTGGATATTGTATATAATTATATAATTTATGGTGTATATATGGTGTATAGTGTATCATGAAATATTATGTCTCGGCAGTTGTGAGTTTTGAGATTGCATGTTGATATGTTTACTATTGCATAGTTCTAGATGCTTCGCCTCAACTAGTGAGGGGGAAATTGTCATGTCCTGGACATGGACCATATGTATGTAGTGCGCATGCTCGCACGTGAGCTGGGTCTTTTTCGGATATGGAGTTTGAGATGTACTGAAATCTGTAATGGCCTCGAGTGTGTGTGTGATCGAGTTGGATGAGTCTGAGTAGAACCCCCTGGGGTAGGACACAACACTTTCCCTTTGATTGTTGTACAAATGTAACAAAAATTGTGTTCAATGTTTTTGGACTTTGCAGTGTTCCGGTGCTCAGGAAACGATATCTTCAAAAAATGTGGTCATCGGCCTTCGCCGAGCTATCCCTGCCTGAAGATAAGGATATCCTAGACTGGGAACTGTCGAACATGGGTAAGCAGCAGCATTTGGCCTTGTCCAGATTACAGTACGTATCGCCTATAAGGTTGGCGGCTATAGTAATATACCGGATATAGTGATCAATTTCTCAAATTCTTTTTCATTTGCCATAATTAAGTATACACAGTTATCGCGTATAGTAATAATCGTCCATAGTAATAATATCGCCTATAGTGATCAAATTCATATTTCAAAAGACCTTTATTAGGCTGTGTTTACATGAGGCGTTTCAACCCGGGTTGAGTTCGACCCGGGTCAGATTTCAACCCGCCATGCACACAAAATGAAAATGAAAATGAATGGCGCGTTTACATGACGCATTGCGCTTGACCCGGGTTGAAATTTTGCCCCGGGTTGATTTCAACCCTCCCGCAAGGGGAGGGTTGAAATCAACCCGGATATCGTACTACGTACTTCTGTGCGTATCTCGCGCCAGGTTTGAACAGCACTGCACATGCAAATTTCGCGCGAAAGGATTCACGTGACCATCCAGGACTCTAGAAATGGGACTTTGGCGGCATATCAGTATTTGACCCGGGTCAACTGTCTTCATGTAAACGCTCACCTATTTAGTCTATCGTACAGACTTTCAACCCGGGTTGAACTCGCACCGGGTTGAAATTTCTCATGTAAACACAGCCTTACATTATTTTTGCATCGATTATAGTGATTGATGTAAAATCAAGTGGTGTCAGAGAAGAACAGGGTGTTACTTCTTCGTGAAGACCTAACTTGTCCAGTGTTGTTTGGTGAGTTCTGCTTGTACAAGTTGCCAAATATGCCTCCATCGTGAGGAAATGCTGATGTTGTGTGACATGAGCTGTAGCCAGCTATGCAGTGCGTACATGTATGTGCACGGCTCCCTGAGTCGTTTGACACCCCACTCGCATACATTGCATGCAGTATCGGTCATAGTGATATATCGCTTATAGTGATAAAATGCTCAAAATCAAACACCGACGCTATAGGCGATACTGACTGTATTATCAACCAGCACACCACACCACACCGTTGCGCTCTCTGGCCGACCTTAACACGTTGCCACAGCACACCATCAGCTAAACAACACTTCAGTTGGTACTCTGCTCCTTCAGACAGCAGCTGTTTCGATCATCAGGATCTCGCCAGCGAAGTAATTAGTTTAATGATAATGTAGAGTGGCTAACAGATAGTGAACCTCATCCAATATAGCCAAAATACTTTGTTTTGCTATAAAAGGGTGCTTGAAGTTCACTATGTGCTGTGGCAATGTGTTGAAGTTGGCCGGAGAGCGCAACAGTGTGGTGTGGTGGTTGATAATAGTACTGAAGGTAGGAGCTTATTTAATAAAGAAAGGCTAGTCCGATCTGTGTTGTCATCATAATCAAAAACACCGGGCTCACATCATGCTATTTTGCAGACATAGACCTGCACACTTGCACACTTTTTTCTCAATGCCAGAACATTCAATTTTTCAATCACGATCGGGGCATGACAGAAAAGTGGAGTCGATGATGCAGTGCACTGCTGTCGTACAACCAGCCTAGGATTCACCGTTACGGCTAAATGCAATCAATCAAGCTGCACGACGTACATCTTTACGAAAGCTGCGAGTTCATGATCGTTGCAAAGGTTCTGTATTTTCAATTTCGAAATGTTTTCTGACTGTCGTGAGTGGAAATTTCCAGGTTCCTAATTTCACTTCGCAAGCTGTTTTGCAATCCGAAAAGTTCTTTCTGTCTTCTCACAACCTGTGCCATGTAGCTACAGTACTCACTGTGTGATTACTATCTGCAAGTAAAATGGCGTCCACAGATCAATGCTTCTTTCCGTGCAACTTCCCCCGAAGGTTTGACTGCTCTGTCCACACTCGAACCCTGTGCATTCCTGTATATTCCAAAAATTTGAAACAGAGAACCTCTCTACGACCGTAGTCCCACAACTTTAGGACATTGAGAACATTGGCGTCACACACGATACGACCAGTATAACCATGGTCGTACCGCTTTTCGTCCAGGATGGTCCACCCAGAGTACTTGTAGAGCGCTAGAACATGCCCTGTTGGTCGAAAACCCCGATTTTCTTCCCCGAGGGGACTCCCGACCCCGGGCGTATCACTCCTCACTGCTCTGTAACGCCCCTGGAGAACTTCTTCTGATATGCTTTATTCCAAGGCTTGTGATATCCCTGAGGATGCATAAAAAGGCAGTAGAATAACTGGAATGTGAACCGTGAACTTTTTCTATTAGTTTAACTTGGTCAAACTTTTACATGCGACACATCAACCTGGTCTGGCCCTTACGTGCCAAAATTCATGTCTCGGGCATAGACACAGAGTCAAGTAACTGGGGTATTCTCACATGACTGGAGTGTGAGCCCTGGATCATGGAACGTGTTTTACCTACGCCAGGATGTTGCGCGCTAGTACTAGTCAATTATAGTTAACATGCTTCCGATGGGCCTGGCGCCCGAATCGACGAATGTCATGTGATTGATGACGTTGCATGTGTTTTTTTTGTCCTTATAGTTGATGACATTCTCGAAACGATCGAGTCGAAGGCGGAGGAATTAAAAACATACTTTCAGTCTGGAATGCAAATCGCAGTGGGCAAGGTGCTTGATGAACGCCGTTGTCTCTCCCCCAGCAACAGTGTCGCCTTAGCTGGCATTCAAACCGTGGTGACATGCAACGCCCATTTTTCAAGTCGTGCTGAGCATCCCGATTGGTTCCTGCATCTTAAAGATAGTGTCAAGACCAAGGAAGCATGGATGAGGTGAGCAATACATGTACATGGAAATACATAATAGTGATACAATTCAATGTCCGTGGTACAACCTGCTGTGTTGAGAAACACTACCAACTTCGGTAATTTCCCTTGCGTCTAACCACCACCATGCATTAGATACCCCGATGGGGTGGCAGATGCAGCGCCTAGCGGCGAGGGTGAGGTCGAAAGTTTCACAACCAGTTCCCGACCCGATAAGGGAGCAAAACCTCGTCCATAGGTGCATCCGACAGAGTGTTTGCCTCACTCCAAGTCCTAGTACAATACTCAGTGACTGGTCAAAGCCACAGCGTAGCTAAATTCATTCACTGTGACATTGACGATATTCATCCGGGCAGTTTTGGGTACAGTAGAACCTCTCTTATCCCAGTACCTCGGGATCGGATGGTGCCTGCATCTCAGACTAGTCTCTAACTCAGGAATACCGACTACACCATAATGGGTACGATACGGCACTATCTTCAGTTCAGCTCACTGACCGAGATTGATCCCATTCGCAAGTACAGTAACATCTGGGGCTATGATTTTTTATTCCCGTAGCTATGCAAAAGACGTTACTTTTAAAGGGGAACTCCGGTCCAAAATCACCCCCATTTTTTATTGCGGAATCCATTAGAGTATGTCGTAAGTGGTAGAATGGCGAAAACCGGAAGCTTCTACGACAAGGATAACATACCTAAATTACCAATTGCAATTTTCCATATTTGGCACGAGGGGGCCCCCGCCCGCCCTGTGACGTAAAACGTTCTCAGTGACCTCCAAATTTTTTTATTCAAATGGTAGACCTGCAGAAATTTTGAAAAAGGTATTCACTGTTTTTTCTTCAATCAATAACCCTTGTACTAGTATTCATTCGATCATCATGTTGGAGGAAGAGGAGACCACAGGAGGTGTGGAGGTGGACGCCACTTCGGATTCAACAACACCGAGGCCTTTTAGGTTCGAGCCGAAGCGCGCATCAGCGTCTGCGAAACTGTCTACAAGTAATATTTCTGAGACTACAAAACAGATGAACGTGAAGAGAACGCTTTGGTTGCAAGTGCTCGCGTGAGAAGCACTGCTTGATGCCGTTGCGGACAATGCAGCATGATCTGGAGCGAGGTCGAGTCGACTTGTTGCTGGGAGGTTCCTGCAGCTTTCAGTAAACGCGGCGAGCAGGAAGGGCTGCAGTGCTTCACGCAGCACTCAGAGTTTGCTGTTGTTTGCCTGCAAAAATCAGTGCTCGAGGTGGCATTGCTTTCCTTCGAAGAATTTCGGGCAAGGTGTGGACCGTGGTCAAACAGGTGAGGATTCACTGAATCGGTTTCATTATTTCCTTTCTTTCCATGTTTCATGTACCGGTACAAAGTAGATGGGAAGTGTTGTGCAATGATTTTCTCTCTCTTATTTGGCTGCAGACAGATGGAATAGTGCTCCATCTGATATCCGCACTGCTGCATCGCCATCCCTATTTCGCCATGCATTACTTTCATTCTTAGGGTACCCCGTAAGAAGACCTTGAGTCTGTGGGGATTGCCCTATCAAAATATGAATAAATAATAATAATTTTGTGTACAGTATTCAAATTCACCAACTTCCATCACACAATCATGAAGTTCTATTGCACCCATGCCAATATAATTATACTGGTACAACGATGTCTTTCATTCATACTATTCCTAGCACTGTAAGTGTTTCAACTGTGTGTAAAAGTGATGTAAATTTGAAAAAAGGCCAAAGTGTCTTTAGTATAGTAGCCCATAGAAATATTAACTCGAATCCGAAACTATTTACACTGAAACTATTTTCTTTTACACAATCATGAAGACACTCGTGGTATGTGTATCTACATCTCTCCAACTGTTTTGTGCAGGATTTGGAGACACGTGGCGTATAGACAATACACATGGTTCACCCATGGATACTTTGGACGCAAGCAGCGGCGTGTGATACCGTCTTGCGTGGTATCGAAGATAAAGCAGCTGTACCAGAAGCCAATGCAGACGCGCACTGGGGCTTTGAGGAAGCAGTTGGACATGATGATGATGATGATGATGATAATGCTTCTTGGCCTGGTTGACGTTCACATAATCATTGGTACATGTGCATGTGCATGCAGAATGTAGAAAACAGTTGACAGACACGATTTATAACTATTCTTGACTCGGGCAATATTTGTGTTTTCGGGTGGGCGCATGCTTTGCACCAATGCAGCTGCACGAACAATCTGGTAAAGTTGACAGATACAATGGCACAAGACTGTACTGTGTTCGGGAGCATGGGGTTGTGCCGGTGCCGTGTGCCGTTGCGAATGCCGAGAATGGTTGTATGCACATCGTTCAACAGGTCCTTCAAGAAGTTGCAGGACATTGTCGTGCAGCTTCTTGGCCACTTTGTGCTCTTGGTGTATTCCAGCCTGTACCTGAGCACACCCTCCTTGGTTTTGGCGTGCGCTCTCCCTATATTGGCATTGTGGGACAGACATGCCGACTGTACCCGTGCTCTCATGCCATTGTACGAAAAGTGGACACGTTTTGGTGCCCACTTCAGTATGACAGCATGGAAAATTTCCAGACTACAAATCATACTGTACCTTGTATTTGTGGCAGTGTAGCTGCAACCGGAAAGTAACGCAATGGAAACTTACAGATAAAGAGAACCGAAATAACACACATGATAACGTTCCATGTACATTACATCAATTCTCGACTTCACTGACTAGGATTTTGAGTAGAGGACTTTGAGTAGGACTGTAGTCGTTTAGAGCTACGTTCTGGACGGCACAAAATCATGCCGTTCACTTACCTCATCGTGCTCACGTTCCTGGAAGTAAATCGAAGATGGTCTGCTTTTGCTGGCAGCAGAGGTAGAGGAGCTACTAACTATTAGTATGACATTCATCGCCAAGTTTCAGGATGGCAGAGACCCTGGCTTCAAGCGTCGCTGCTGCTTCTGCTTATAGCCACCAATGCTTTGTGCAAACTCTTGTTGGAAATCTCTTTCATAGCACATCTCAGTGAAATGCTCAGTGCAGACACGATTATTTTTCGTCGGAGAAAAATCCTTCCAACATACTCTTCATAGCCAAGCTGTCGTCAGGTTCGCGTCAGCCAGAGGAAAGCCATGCTACGACAGCCCGCAGGCGCCTCTTTCTTCGTGACATTGTTGCATCCAGAGACGCAGCAGCGAGTCGTGACAATAAATCGGGCATGGCACAGAACAACAAGCACTTCAACAATGGCCAAGGGCTTTTCATTCTTGCTTCAATTATTTGAAAATTTCATCTGAGTGGACCGGGCTGAGAACGTTTTACGTCACAGGGCGGGCGGGGGCCCCCTCGTGCCAAATATGGAAAATTGCAATTGGTAATTTAGGTATGTTATCCTTGTCGTAGAAGCTTCCGGTTTTCGCCATTCTACCACTTACGACATACTCTAATGGATTCCGCAATAAAAAATGGGGGTGATTTTGGACCGGAGTTCCCCTTTAAAAGTAACGTCTGGCACTAGCCAGGGTCCACACAGCTATCCCGTATATGTCCCGTACCATACCATCAAAGATAGCTGGCCACCTTATTCAAATAGGGCTTTCAACTGCAAGATGATAACGAGAAGCAACTTGGAAGAATGTGTATGTATGCGAAGTGCATCGGGAAAATGCAACCAGGGCGATAGTGCGGGTTCGAAATTTGAACCCGCACTTCGAACTTCGAATCTCATGTTAGGCCAAGCCAAAGACTTCCTGGTCATCCTTACTTTTTAAGAAAAAAATGGGGAGGGAGGGCGGATTTGATTTGTATACTTCATGATCGTCCTAATTTTTTAAGAAAAAATGGGGAGGTAGGGCGGATTTGTATTTTTATCATTGTAAAAGACAGCTGGCCACCTTATTGAAATAGGGCTTTCCACTGCCGGATCATAATGTAGGAAATGCTCATTTCGCTAGAAAGTTCAAGAATCTATTTATTCATTTATTTCTTATTTGTCTGAAGTCACTAACTAACTTACATTAAAATTACAGTCTTCTCAGATATTTATTTACCGGTTTTCATTCCGTTTGGCTATTGCAGACGCTCGTTTGTAGTGTGCGTCTCATACTACGTAACTGTTTCTGCGTACCGGTAACTTCTTCAGCGGACACAGATACGTGTAACGTGTGCACGTATAACTTGTTCTACATACGCGCGCACCCCTTTGTGTGCGCATGCTCAGTCCTTTTTTGCTATGCTCTTGTAAAATGAAATCATTCTTGTTTTCGAGTTATCTGTCGTCCATTGCTTGGACTTCTTTGAAGCGAATAATTATTGAAAGGAAGAGTCAAGATGTATTCTCTTGTTGGAATAATGAGCATGAGCCTGATGTCAGTGATGAGGATATAAATTTAGTTAATCCTCCAGTTCCCACGGAATTCGTATGTTGAGAATTTCGTACATGGTCCTTCGAGCTTCAACACGAGCCCGAGAAATTTGATTTGTGATTATGGCCGAGACGGAGTCTGAGGATCAGCCAAAGACGACAACAGTGTCGGTCCAACGGTTAGTTCGATTGCGTGGAGCACATCGGTCAGCTGCCTCCAAATTGGTATCTAGAATCGATGATTTTGTGGAGAGGATTTCCTTTGTTACGAGGAGCTCACCCGAGTGGCAAGGGGAAGATCTCAGCGTAAATGATAGAGAGGATTGTGCCTTGGACCTGAAGAAACTCCGGGAGAAAGTGGATTTGCTTGGGCGCTTGGACTCCCAAATGTTGGACGCCATCGAGGACGACGACATTGAATCTGAAATTTGTGATGCAGCGGATTATCTTATGAAGTACGAGTCCCGCATCGGCAGGGCTACGCGAGCCATTTCAGATGCAAGTCAACTGTTGGAGAATATCGCCAGTGTACGGGCTTCCTAATCCTCACAGCCAAAGTCAGAGTCACTGTCACCCGTTTCCGGAAAGGATGAGTGCTGCACAACAAGCAAGGCCAAGGGCAATCTGGACAGTCGGGAACCAGCTCCAGATGAG